AAAAAGACCGTTCCAAATAGGTCTGGTCAGACCGGAAAAAAAAAAAAAAATAAGGTTGCTTAGAGTGCATTTGGTTCCTTAAAATTTTTTCTAATCTTCCATGAAAGTTTCAAAATATTTGGTTGATTCAGTTTTAAATTTTTTTCCAAGAAAACAAAACTTTTCTGCTTTTTAAATTGAATGTAAATTAAAAAAATTATTTTTAAAATTTTTAAGTTGGAAAATAAAAACTTCATCCATCCAACCAAACATGTTTTCTAAAAATTTATTTGAAAACTTAAAATAAAACTCTATTTTCTGAAAACAATTTTCCACAACAAAGTACATCCTTAGAGACCGATTTTGTGCACTTCTAGGGTAGACGAATAGGTTCAATCTGATCTACTACGGAGTATGGATCCAAAGCTTCCCCACTGATCCAATATCTAATAAGCTCGATATATATAAATACGAACTACCAACAATATATTTCATCAATCACTCTCAACCCCAAAATTAAATGTAGTCATAAATTTATAATACCAAATACAACAGTTTAATTTACACAAAGTACATCAAAATACCCAAAAGCGTGCAAAGAATAAAAACTACAAATCAAATTTTTACTCTTACAAAAATACCCAAATTTTTACTCGTACAAAAAGTATATGAATCTAAATTTTACCAAGAAGAAGTTCCTTTAGGATCTCATCACTGATCCCATCAGCATAAGGAAACATATGACCAGCACCCTTGAGCTCATGATACCTTATCCATGGAAGCTGTTGGGCAATATAACGTTGCAATGTCACAGGCACAATCTTATCATCATCACCCATCCATATATCAACGGATCCTTCATTTTCCAGAAACGGGTTCTCAATTTCCATTGGGTCGAATTCCCAGGTACCAAATCCAATATTCAAGTCACGGTGGACTGATTCATATTCTCCTTGCTGTCTTACTTGTCCCTTTTCAACACACAAAAAACAATAACATTAGATTCATATTCTCCTTCCTAAAATGGTCAAGTAATTAAATGTTTGGATGTGGGTTTACAGTGATTACTTAAATGAGTACCTACCTCAATGGGTCCCCTGCCAGCTGTAAACTTGGGAATGAGTTCCATGTCTTGCTGAGAAAGAATATCAGGGCTATGAGCGATAGCTTTGTAAGAAGGAAACAGCTTCTGAGTGTTCCACCAGAATGTCAATGATGGAAGGTGATGAGCAACACGTAGACTCCATTGATCCTGAATGAATTGCTTTGAATACGCTTCTTGAGATAGCTTCAATGGCAAACGTGGCCACCAGTAATTAACTACTGGAGCTATAAGACTTGCTCCTGCTAACCTGTGAGGAATGTATTTCAAACAAGACCAGATCGCTTGACCTCCCATTGAAAAACCGACTACATAGAACTTTGATCCGAGTTCTAACTGATCGGCAAGCTCCTCGATATCCAAAGCCGAACTCTGTAAAGTTTGGTTAGGGTTTGGATCGCTCTCTCCATAACCAGGTCGATCGAATGAGACAATATGTATCCCCAATTCTTCAATTAGGGCCTGTTAAAATCAAGTAATCAAGAAACGGAATAACGAAACTAATGAATGAGGAACAAAACACGATACCTACCGGGGAGGCTGATGTAGCGATAACAGCATAATACTTGATAGAATCGAATCCATGAACATAAATAATCTTGTATTTGGCGACTTCTTTTGGTACACCGTATTCTTTGTAGGACAAATGTCTTCCATCACGAAGCTTGATTCTAGGTGTTGTAATGGGAAGTCCGTCTGGAGATCCGAGTTTCTTGGGTTGGGGTGGACAAGCTGATTGATAAGCCCATGCCAGAAACCCGATAATGAAGACTAATAGTATGAAAAACCCTGAAAAGATTAAGAAATGTAACCGTAGAGGGTGTTTGGATTAGTTCTTATGATCCATGATTGACGATTTGACATTATGATTATTTGATTAATTGATGAACACATCTACTATGATTAAATTGCACTTCAGAGATCAAATCAGAATTAATGCTCGATAGACCCATCTCTTGATTTCAAGTAGAATCAATATTACAGTTCCGATCGGGAAGTTCATGATTTTACGGTTTTCTAAACCTCTACCTACATGTGTGATATGTTTTAGGATCTTAATTGAAGGAAATCGAAGTTGACAACACTCATTCATTGGCACACAAACACTTCGATTCGGTAAAATCGCCGACGAATCTATAACGAATGTATCAAATAGTGAAGTTTGTAAATTTGAAAAAAAAATGGTGACAAGTATGAGAATAGAGCACCTGACGGGAAAGAAGAGGAAGATTCGGATTTGGATTTCCTGGTATGCGACCTTGCTGATGATGCTGAAATCTTCCTCTTGACTTCCCCTGCCATTGTTGTTATTCAATGGCGGAAGAGGAGGAAAAAGAAGAAGATGCTTTGATTAACTTGGAATTTGGAAAGAGTTGTATACAAAGTCTTTGACAAAATGTGGACGAGTTTCGTGGGACATAGTTGACTCTCGGACTTTTCTTGGGCCTATATAGCAACAAATGGATCGGTTTTAAACCGATCCCAAACAAAGACCGATACATTCCTAGTTTAAAATGAGATCGGATCCTAAAACCAATCTCAAAAATTATGGATTGATCTAAGACCAATCTCACAAAATTCATATTTGTTAATCACGTATTACCTATTTTTTTAATTAATTTTTAATGTATCATTTTAGTAAATCTTAATATATCATTTTTTGGTGTTAATGAAACATTTGTTAGTGGAAAAACCTAAAATTGAAAACGGATCGAAAACCCCCAAAATTGAACCGAAATAGATCCAAAAAATATATTATCCTGAAAACATCTAGGACCTATCAGAAAAACCTAAACTAAACTGTAAGATCACTAATAAAGCTAAGAGGAGTGATAATACTTCTAGCACCTTATCATGTAGGATTTTTTTATTGCTACATAGGTTTTTATATTGCCAAGTAAGCTTATCATGTATAGGTTAAAAAGGATAGGGAGTAGTAGTGAGAGGAATTTAATTGGTTTTGTTTTGAAAAAAAAAAATTAAAAGAAAATAATCTCAACCAATCACAGCCCATTTTTTCTTCTCTCTCTTCTCGCTACTATAGTAGCGTTTCTTATTTAACGAGTATCTTAACGACTTATAAGGGGTGGTTTAAAGATTGATAACATGTGTTTTGGCGAGGGGGTGATGAGGTCACTCCCTCAAGCCTAAAAATATAGGATCATTCTGATAAGGCTTCTGGAGTGTTAATATGTAGGTTTATTCTTATCTAGTATTTTTTAGAATAAAAAAAACCATCAAACTTATCGGTTATTTTGTTAAGAAAACTGTAAAAAAATGATCGTTGTGATTTGAAATTGATTGTGGCTAAACTCAAAAAAAAAAAAAAAAAAAAAAAAAAAACTCTTAACTTGCAAAAATAGTCATTTTGGTTTGGCTGTAGAAGACGAACATTAATATCCATTTGTTTTAAGAAGAATAAATAAAAATTACTATTTTGTTTTTATTTTTAATTTTATTGAATTATTAATTGTTAATTAACATTGTTTCTGTTTTAATACCTCCTATATTTCCTCTCATGTCCTCCTACTCATTGTTTTAATCTTGCTACAAGCTTGGTCCTTATATACAAGTAGATTTGGAATTATGTTTTCTTTGGGGATGATTTGTCTTACGGTATTGGAATTCAATGTGAGTTTAATTATAGGTTGGCTTTTTGAACATTTGACATGATTATTGTTCTCTAATCATATTTTGAAGATGGTTTTGGATTAAGTTGGTATTGGTGTTCTTTACTGATGATATGAGTGATGGAATCCTATGGTTTATGTGAATTTAGTCATCTAGGTTATTTTGCTTTAACTTTTTGGTCCTTATCATTCATTTTGTAACTTTACAACTTGTGGGGAACCTTCTATCGGTTTATCTTAGGTTGAGAATTGAGGTTTGTTGGTATGTTTGTAGCCATTGCAGATGATGTTCAATGGGTATTTGGTCGATGGGAAAAATAAGGTCGTCGTAGGAAAGTGGTGGTAGCAGGAAATCATACATACTTATAAAGCTAGCTTTTTTTTCTTAAATTCCATGTATTTGAAACCCCCATTATTTTTTCCTTTCACCACATTCATTTGAAACTCCTATAATTTTTCAATTTCTTTATAATAATAATTATAATTTGGTAATTAGAAGAAATAAATATCAAATCTAAAGTGTAATCATATATAAACTAAATTTCAATATTAAAATAATATCTTTACTTCTACTTATAAAATTATGTTTTTTTAACTTTTAGCATATTATACTTAATTTATTAGTTTTAATATATTATTGGATATAAATCATTATCATTTTAAATGTATAATTTTTGAACAATTTGTATAAAATACTTAAATTATTAATTAAAATATAACATTATAGGTTCAACTTAAATATACATTTTATTTAACTTAAACAACCCAAAATTTATTTTATAAATAGTTAAAAGTGATAAATTGTAGTGTCTTTCTAATAATGATTGTAAGTTGGTTAATAAGGTTAAATAAATATCAAACCAAAAGTGTAATCATAAATAGACTAAATTTCAATTTTAAAATAATATCTTTACTTCTATTTATAAAGTTATGTCTTTAAATTTTAACATATTATACTTAATTTATTAGATTTAAAATGTTGTTGCATTTAATCATTATTAGTTTAAAGCTACAACTTTTGAACAATTTGGACAAAATACTTAAATTGTTAATTTAAATATAACATTACAGTAAACTTAAATATAAATTTCAGTTCTACTAAAAAAAACAAATAATATTTTATAAATAGTTAAAAGTGATAAATTATAGTGATAAATGCAAAAACTAAATTGTATCAGTTTAACTAAAATATTTCATAAATATATTTTTATAATCATTAAAAAATTTCAAATAAGTAGCTTAAAATAACTTATAATAACAATAGTTAAAAATAACTCTATATAAATGATTATATTATTACCTTTAAAATCAAAAAATAATGTTTGATGTTTTAAATAATTATAATGATAAAAATTAAAACATTAAGCAAATAAATTTTTAAAAAATAGTTAACAATAACAATAACTATAAATAATATTAAACCATATATAATATTTAATTTTATTGATGTGTAACTCGCGAGTAGAAGTCATTCAAATGATTGAGATTATGACGTTATAATAGATGTATATATTATCATATAATTCAAAATAATCAATATATTATATCAAATTAATATACAAATTATTATATCAAAATTAACAACAACGTTAGTGTTATATTTAAAAAATATAAATTTGTAAAGACTTCAACTATGTAGGTGTTTCTGTGCATTACAATATCAACTCAAATATAAATTTCAATTCCATTTAAAAAACTAAAGAAGATTTTGTAAATAGTTAAAAGTGATAAATTGTAGTGATAAAAAATAAAAACTAAATTGTAATCTCAATGTAACTGAAATATTTCTTAAATGTGTTTTTATAATCGTTAAATGTTTCCAAATAAGTAGCTTAAAATTAACTTACAATAACAATAGTTAAAAACAACTCTATATAACTGATTATATTGTTACCTTTAAAATAAAAAACAATGTTTGATATTTTAAATAATTATAATGATAGAAATTAAAACATTAAGCAAATAAATTTTAAAAAATTAATTAACAATATAAACAACTATAAATATCATCAAATCATATATTATATTTAATTTTATTCATGTGTAACTTGCGGGTAGAAGTCATTTAAACGATTGAGATTATGAAGTTACAATAAATATATATATATATATATATATATATATATATATATATATATATATTATCATATAATTCAAATATAATCAATATATTATATCAATTTAGTATATACAAATTATTGTATCAAATTTAACAACAACATTATTGTTATATTTAAAAAACATATATTTGTAAAGACATCAATTATATAGGTGTTTCTGCGCAACACGCAGACATTCGCCTAGTAAAAGAGAATAAGGAGCGGTGACTAGACGAAAGGAGATAGATGGTATTGGTGAGTTGATGGGTTAATGAATTAAGGAACGGTGTCCACTTGTAATTTAGTTATAATAATAAACATATTAAAAAATAATTAAAAATCTAAAAGGATGATAAATTTATTAAAATCGGTGATGAAATCCACAATCAAACACTATAGTTGAAAGATTTTTAGACCTTAACTTGCTTTAGTGATAGCTCTCGAGCCACTTAGTAGGAATTATGTGCAGATTTAAAGAGTTAAAAATAACCATGTGTGTGCATGTGTATACATATATGTGTAGGGTGTGCATGAACATGTAGGCATAGGCATGAACATGTATGTTTATATGGGTGTGGCTATGACTGTGGGGGTGAGGGTAAGAGTAAGGTGGGTGTGTGTATATATATGGGTGTATGTATGTGGTTATGGGTATAGGTAGGGGTCTAAATGTTGGTGTTAGTATGGGTATATGATTTGTATGGGTGGAATGTAGGTATGGAGGTGGTTGCATGGGGTGAGGATAGGTGTTTGACATTGGGCTTATGGACATGACGTAAGTGTGGAAATGCATGTATGTATATTTATATGAGTATAAGGGATGGAGTGTATGTATGTAATGGTGTTGGGGTAAGATGGACATGATGAATATGTAGTTGTATGTATGGGGTGTTTGTAGGGTATGTGTGGAGTTAGATGCATGAAAGAGTTTGATAAATAATTGTTAAAATAAAAAATGACGGGAGGAAATTTTTATATTTTTAATAAATTATAAGTTGAATAGAAAATTTTTGTTATTAGTAAAAAAAATACCAATTCATTCAAATTCATATGTTAATAGAATTTAAAATTTTCCAATTTATTTGATTTTTTACTAAACACAATTGTTTTTATCGTGAATTTACATTTCAACCCCTCTAATTATTTTGAAATTCAATTCGTGAACCAAACACATTCTTACTTTCTTGCTATTGGACTCCGCTTCCAGTAGTCGATTTCAGAACTCCTTTCTTCATTCCACAACATCAGACTCACAAGGGTATGTGTCTTTCTTTCAATACTTTTTACACCCTAAATCCTAATATGATAATGATAATTATGATTTCAATTTTCACTTCCCCATCGACGCTGATTCACGATTTCAATTTTCATCCACGCCACCATCACTGTCAGTGGACTACGATTGCAACGACGATGGTTGTTTATGTGAATTGCATCCTGATTTTGAATCTGAAACTCATATTTTGAAACTGAAGTATAGCTCTTATATGTTAATTGCTAAAACTCAGATTTTGGTTAAATTATGCCAGAAGTTCACAAGTGTAGATGTTGGTCTTCCTAGTAATTGTAACCTAACTACATTTAAAGGGACTAGATAGTTAACCATCAACTGATAAATTTCCAATAGTTCCACATGTTGTTTTGAATTTGATTTGCATACATACATGTTTTAGTTACATAAAAAGGGTGGGAAGGGAG